AAGGTTTGAGTTATAAGGAGAGGCTGGATAGGCTGGGATTTTTTTTGCTGGAGCTTAGGAGTTTGAGAGGTGACCTTAGAGGTTTATAAAATCATGAAGGATATAGATAGGCTAATGATAGGTGTCTTTTTCCAGGAGTGGGGGATTTCGAGACTAGGGGTTGAGAAAAGAGACATTTTAAAAAGACATGAAGGGTATTTTTTTTTATAAAGAGAGTGGTTTGCATGTGGAATGAACTTCCTGAGAACTGGTCGATGTGGGCATAATTACAACATTTAAAAGACACTTAGATAAGTATAAAGAAAAGTTTGGAGGGATATGTGGTAAGTGCAGGCAGCTGGGACTAGTTTAGTCGGGATTAGTTTGGCATGTACTGGTTCAACTGAAGGGTCTGATTCCATGCAGTATGATTCTATGACTCTATCATAAAAGAGGCCAGCGTTGCTATTTAATTCTCTGATTTTATGCTTCTTTCATATGAATATCATTGACTTGTACTTTTTTTGGTCATAATTAAATCACTAGCTTGTATTGATGGTTCAATGAAAACAAAACATCAATAAGGTTTTCAAGTACTTTCAAAACTTAGGCACTTTTCAGGTGTCATGTTTTTTCAACTAAATTTCTTGGCTGGCATTGTTATTTCGATTCGGTGAAATTTCTTTATGTTTTATTTATTTTAGTTTGGTTCCATGCAAATTAATCGGAAAAGAATAGGTGAAGCATTTGAATTGTTTACGACATAGTTTTTGAAAATGTTTGCAGCTTGCATTGTCCCTTGTGCTGAATATGAGACATCTGAAATCAATTGCTAATGTATGCAAACTATGTAATAATAACTCCCTCAAAAAATCTTGTGAAAAATGTGATTATTACGGTTTGATTTTCGAGGCCTCTGATAAGCCTGGATCTTGACCTTGTTTTCCATCTCAACCTGTAGAGGACCATTCTTGGCTATCAGCCCCCACGGTAAACACATTCCAGTTCTTCCCTTCCATACACAAAACCCATTCTCACAATTCTTACCCATCCCCCCAACAATGGTTAAGGGGTCAAGAGTTGTCCTCAGTGCTCCTGAATTAGAGAAATACTTAGATTGGATTCCTGCTGCTGCTTAAAGTCCAGCAACTCCTGACTGAACGTTCTGATTGTATGCGGGTCTAGGCCCGAAACGTCAGCTTTCCTGCTCCTCTGATGCTGCTTGGCCTGCTGTGTTCATCCAGCTCTACACCTTGTTATCTCTGATTGTATGCGAGCTTTGAGTGATGGCAGGAATGGTTTTGGCTGTGACGCTGCCGCAGTTAAACAGCGTACTAATATCCCCTACGTGCAGGTTTACCTTCAAAGAATAGCCGTTTAGGAGATATTGTCAAGTACCTTCTGATTATACCCCAAGGTGAGTTCTTCCTTTTATTCCATTCCAAACGACTCCCATGATTAAAGGCAATCTGTTTGTTACCTTTGCTTCCTGTTAATTCCTGGAAATATTAACTCGAATATGTCTGTTTCTAACTTGAGCATTTTGTGGTCATTTATAGAAACCAAGTGAAATATTGCAACACCTCAAAATCCCCTGGAGGTCTCAATTAAGTCGTCAGTCTGGGCCTGTTTTGACATTTCTATTTAACTTACACGGCTATTAATGTGGAGTGCAGCTGTTTAACAGGTGCAGCGTGTCACTGATAGTGGATATGATTAAATATTTAGCTTTTTTTTTGCCAATGTTCTTTCCTTGTTTCTTGAAGCCTCTGGAGATTGTGCTATGCTGAATAAGATTGACCTTGCGATAACAAGGTTAGGCTGCTTTCCCAAGGCAGCAGGATGTATAGATGGAGTCAATGGATGGAAGGTTGACTTGAGTGATGGACTGGTCTGTGTTTATGACTTTCCCTGTTGGTTCCTCTCGAAACAATCCAGAAAGCTCTTTCAGCCTTGTAGAAACAAGTTTTGATATTGCAACCCTGACCCCGTTTCTAAGGGAATCAACCTTCATGCTGCTGAGGGGTTAATGTCCGGTCAATTTTACAATGTCACTATACGCGAACAGGCATGGAAATCAAGTAAGTTACCTATCACAGGTGCATAATTCTTTGAAACTTGCATCACTGGTAGATAGGGTGATTAAAAAGGCGTTTATCACACTTGCCTTCATTGCTCAGACTTTTGAGTACAAAAGTTGGGATGTCGTGTTAAGGTTGTACAGAATATTGGTGAGGCCTCTTGTGGAGCACTCTGTGCAAGTCTGGTTGCCCTGTTACAGGAAGAAGATTAATAAACAGGAGAGGATTCAGAAAAGATTTACCAGGATGTTTCTGGGAATGGAGAGTATGAGGTATAAAAATAGACTGAAAAAACTGGGACTTCTTTCTCTGGAATGTAGAAGGTTGAGGGGTGACCTTATAGAGATTTATAAAATCATGAGGGGCCTAGATAAGATGAATGACAAGGGTCTTTTCCCTAGGGTAGGACAGTTCAAAATTAGGGGGCATAGTTTTAAGGCAAGAGGGGAAAGATTTAAAAAGGAATGACTTTTTTACACAGAGAGTGGTTTGTGTGTGGAATGAACTGCCAGAGAAAGTGGTGGATGTGGGTACAGTTATAGCATTTAAGTTCATGAATAAGAAGGATTTGGAGGGATATGGGCCAAGTGTGGGCAGGTGGGACTAGTTTAGTTTGGGGTTTTGGTCAATGTCAACTGGTTGGACCGAAAGGTCTGTTTCTGTATTATATGGTTCTGTCTCTCTGATGTCTGGGTGATGAAACATCACCTCATGCCTAGTTGGTGTTAAGGATCAGATGTAAAATGAGTTGTGGAGTCTCAAGCCACATGGACATGGGATCACAACAGTAAGATGTGGCACACTTTGGTCCTGATTTGACCTGGTCTCCCACTCAGAACCTGGTATGGGGGAACAGGCTCAGTGCCCAGGCACATATGGGGGCAGTTTGGACTGAAGAACATTGGCGCAGGGCGGTTCATTTGGTTTATCCGAAACGAGTGAATGTGGTTGTGTGTGTATATCGGTTTCCTGGCATCTGTGGTGCTTTTCTTGGTCTTGTCGAGTTACATCCCGAGAGCAAAGCATCCAGCGGAGATAATGTTTACAATGTTAAACGCATCCACTGACGACGGACTTGTGATATTCATTGGACAGTCCAAGGCTCTGCCATTGGCCTGCAGAAGACAGCTTCAACAGTGATCTCCTGGAATCAAATTTAGGAAGAGATTAATGTAAGGCCATTTTGCCTGTCTCTCCCATGTTGCTATCCCTCATCTTGTTGGCTATATAGTTCACTGATGGAAGGGAAGCACAGTTAGGGTGAATGATTTTGGACTCACATTGAAATGTACTTGAGTCAGTGATTGGTGAATTACATTCACAGTGTAAGAGAGATGTGAAGGTATCATATAATGAAAACAATTTCAGTGGGACCCCATTGGTCTTTAAGTGCGTTTCTTGATGACTGGATCATTGAATCTCCAGCATGATTTTTATTTTAACCTTGACATACTTCAGGATAATATGTTTCATTACCGGAAAACGACTGGTTCTCAGGCTTATTAAGATTTGTTTCCAACATCTTTACTGTCGGGGACAGTAAACCCAATGTCCTTGCGCGATATAAACTGCAGCTAAAGTGCATGATTCATCCTGGGAAGGTTTTAATGCCCATTTTGATGAATTTTTACCATTTTAACCAGTGAAGTGTGGCAGGTCATGCAATCCCAGGTCTTTTGGTGAACAGTGGAGTTTCGAGGGGCTCCCAAGGAGCAATAGTACTTGATGAGTTGGTCAAAACCGGGGTGCTTGGCAGCACTGAGAGAGATTCCAAGCCAGCAGTGCCCACTATCAATCCCCTGGTGGCTAGCGTCAGCAGTCTGGAAAATTACCCACATATTTATGTATTGTGTAGATAATGCCTGGAATTTTTCCTGCTGAACAGGCAAGTCGCAGGATGCAATCAGGTCAAATCCACCCTCCAGTTGCTGATTTATGACTGTTCCAGTATATCAGCCTTGCTGCCTTCCCATCGCAACTTCAGAAACCCCACTTAAAGCAGCCGATGGCCATTTATTAACTTATCCAATAGACTCTGTGCTGACTTACTCGAGGCCCAGCTTGTGGATGAGGCTGGAACCCACAAGCTGAGAACCTGAAGGGGAGAGGTGTTACCAAATGAGCCACACTGAGCACCAGTACATGAAATTGAACTGCACCCACATCCTTCTTGGAGCTCTCCATTGTGATCCCTGTTGACCAGACCATAACAGTATTGTCACTTGACTGTGAATAGGTAGAAACGTTGTGGGGAGGTGAATTTGAGCAAGTACCCTCCATATTAAAAGCCTTTATCAAGAGGCTTGTGAAGCCTGAAATAGGCGAATGGGCAACTCCTCTGGATGTCTTAGAGAACACCCGTCTATTTCCACATAAAGCCTCTGCTTTCACAAAATGAAAAAGCCCTTTTTCCAAGTCCTTGCTGATATACATTCCTAAATTACTGACCCACTTATGAATGGAAGATCCGTCATTGGTAGGGGGGAAAGCGGACAGTGTCTTTTTCGGTATGTTGTAAATTCCAATATCTAGATGGTGGGGCTATGGAGAGAATGTTGCCAGACTCCAATTGTCATCCTTAAGGATAGAAAGAATTGCATTTATATAGCACCTTTCACAAACTCAGGACTTTGCTGAAGCATTCATGCTTTTATAATTTGGGACATGCAGCAGCCAAACTGCACAGCAAACTCCCACAAACAGCAGCGTGGTCATGATCAGATGATGTGTTTTAGTGATGTCGATTAAGGAATCATTATTGGCCATTGCATCAGGAGAATCCTGCCTCTCTCCTCATGGGATCCTTTATGCGATCAGAGGGCAGATTAGGGGATTGGTTTAGTATCACATCTGGAAGAACACTCAAGCCTTATTTGTACAGAGCAAAGCAAGAATTCTCACTCCTTTTTGTTTTAATCTTCATCTGTCTCTCCCTCGCAGGCCAATCTGTGCTTTGTGGACATTGACAACCACTTCATCGAGCTGCCAGAAGACTTCCCCCAGTTCCCAAACAAGCTGGAGTTCATCCAGGAAATCTCCGAGGTGCTGCTGCAGTTTGGGATCCCACCCGAGGGGAACCTGCACTGCAGCGAGAGCGCCACCAAGCTAAAGAACCTGGTGCTGGATGACCTGGCCAACGACAAGAAGAATGGCAACCTGACCAGCAACACCATCAACATGTACGAGCTGCTGAAGGGCAACGAGACATTGGCTCGGCTTCAGGCATTGGCCAAACGCACTGGGGTGACGGTGGAAAAGATGGAGATTGCCCCCCAGCTGGCAGCGGCGAAGGAGAAGGACACCAAGTGCCAGAACAGCGAGGAAGAGCTGCGGGATTACAAGCTCACCGTGCAGCTCCGAGAAGTGTTTGCCAACCGCTTCACCCAGATGTTCGCCGACTACGAGGCCTTCGTCATCCAGCCCACTCAGGACATGGACGCTTGGCTCACCAACCGTGAGCAGATGCAGAATTTCGACAAGGTAATCGCTGTTGTCCTGTCCACTCATGTATGTTGGACCATCCCTTTGCAATGTCAGAGATATAGCCAGCCTGGCCTCTATTACCTGCACTGCTTTCATGATCAATATTTGCTGGAGTGTCTTTCACCAATTTGAGACCTCCCTAAGCACTTCACATTCATGATAAGATATCTGTAAATGTTCAAACGCAGACAAAAAGGGCACCGCAGTAGTTCAGTGGTTAACACTGCTGCCTCAGTGCTAGGGATCCGGTTTTGATTCCACCTTCGGACGACTGTGTGGAGTTTGCACAATCTCCTCGTGTCTGCATGAGTTCCCTTCAGGTGCTCCAGTTTCCTCCCGCAGTCCAAAGATGTGCAGGTTAGGTGGATTGGCTGTGCTAAATTGTCCAAAAATTTGTAGGTTAGATGGACTAGCCATAGGAAATGCAGAGATATGGTGGGCCCAGGTAGGATGCCCTTCAGAGAGTCAGTGCAGACTCAGTGGGCTGAATGGCTTTTCTCTGCACTGTGGGGCTTCTTATGAGTCAATGAAATACCCTTTGAAGTGTGGTTGCTGCTATAATGTAAGACATACAGCACAGTCAGCTATGGAACAATACAGGGACAGCAGTGGCTGGCCTAATCAAGAGGCCCAGAGACTAACCTCTTGGGGACAGCAAGGTTCAAAACCCACCACGGCAACTGATGAAATTTGCATTCAGTTATTAAACGTGAAACTTAAAGCTAAGGCTCTGCAGTAGTGCCGTGAAACTACCATTTGCTGATGAATTGCATTCTGTTTAGCTTGAGCCCCTGCCAACCTAATTTCCAACCAGTGCCCCCTTATTGCATAAAGGATTGACTCAGTAACAAACCACAGAGGCTGTGAGTTTAGAATGCCAACCTATTCTGGCAGTGATTGAAGGCAAGAGATATGCAGGCATGGTGAAGTGACACAGCACGATCCCAGTCCAGGTTCAATTCCTGAAAGCTGGATCAAACATCTTGAAAAACCTCTCCCCTTTCCCTTCAATTTTACACACCCTGAACCTGTAAGTGAAGTTAGGTTAAATTTACAGGTTGGTTCTACCTCCCCTCATCCACCCACAGGTGGCCCGGCTGCATTACCGATCCTTAGACGTCAAACGCTTCCTTTCTAAGAGTGTGTCCAATTCTGACTTCCTAAAACCCTGCCATTCTGAGCCCTGCCATTGTGACAAACCATCTAAAGCTACTTCAGGCTTTAGTAGCTATCCAAAGTATTGGCCCTACAAAGCAAAATGTTAAGAAGCTAAGAAGATATTCAACTAATGGAACTAATAACTATGATCGCAAAGCCAGTGATGTGGGATTTTGGTTGAGTAAATGGGGGAGGAACTATGTCCATCCACTGGCAGGAGGATTGGTCACCAGTAACTAGCATTAAAACCAGTCGGTAAAAGAAGGAACCATTGCTTTACTCTGAGTTATTACAATCTCGTGTCCTCTGCCCGAAAGGATGGTGAAAGCAAACTCAACATTAGCTTTTCAAAAGGGAATTGGTTATAAACTATTTTTTACAGGGCTGTGGATTCATGCAATGGGTCTAAATCGATAGAGAGACACAGGCATGATGGGCCAAATGGCTTCCTTTGCTGCTCCACTGTTCTGTCATTCGGTATTGTCATTACAAATGTGAAGGCTGCAGGTGAAAGGATGCTGTAGCTAGGCTGTTCACCCTAGAAAGGAGCTGGCCTGATAAAGATATTGAAGATGTGAATCAATACAGCAATCTAGAGCACAACCCAATTAAGCTGGAACAGTAAAACCGTGGGATACAGGTCCAAACTGACAACAGGGCACATTTAGCTCGTGCGTGGGAATGCTCTCCTCCAAATAGTGATTTATCATAGCTTCAAACTAAAAACATAACTGAATGGTTTCTATTTAACCACTTTACGGGAGAGTTGGTGGACTCGCAAAATGGGCTGCCCAGAGAAGCAGCAGGAGCTGATTGATGTGGCAGACTTGGGTTCTCCAATACTCAGAGGAACAATCCATTGGGAAAGGACTAGATGCAGAGATGGATAGTGGAGTTTTCGGTTCCTCTTCTTTCCATATGTCGCGTGGAATGGAATCCAAAGCAGGGCAATAAAGGAAAATCTATGAAATCATTTGACAGAAAGGTTGAATGGTGGAGGAGCTGTTCACTTTTTTTGGATGGGAGATTCCATGCATGGGAAATGGTGAGAATGCTAAAGTTATTGAGAAACAAAACAAGGTTGACTAGCAAGAGAAGCAAGTTGGATTTATTCAGTACCTGTGAGCAACTTACATACATTTGAAGAGTAGCCACTATTGCAAGCTAACACTGCTACCATTTTGCACACATTGAGGCCCCACAGTCAGCAATGTATTTTTGGTTGTGCGAACAATAACCAGGCATACGCCCATGCAATTTTTTAAGGGGATTGTTTCAACGTCCAGAGATACAGTTTCCCATCCGGTGTAACCATAAAGTTTTGTCCATCAGCAAGGATTGTACAATGGGAAAGCCAGTAGCACTGGACCAGTGAAAGACTGTGGAATTTGTGATCTGTCAGTAAAACTAGTCCTGACAACAAGAAGGCTGGTCATTGTACTAGTCAATATACTTGTTTCCCCAAGAACAGGGAAGACTGATGGATGACAGGATTGAGGTTGTAAAAGATAGATTAGATGTGAAGAAGATATTTCCACGGGCAGGAGTACCAGAACTGGTGCTGTAGAAATGAGATAGCCCCTTATAAAGGCAGCAGGAGAAACCTTTTCATCCAAACAATGCTTAGACAGTGAAATACTACAGACAACAGTTCAAGTCAATGGCATTAATGCATTTAACGAGTGCAGGATAAGGAGATTTAACTAATGTGTAATCTAATGGATAAAGTCAGAGACTTGAGGTGGGTGGCAGAGATGTCAAGGGTGAATGTAACATGTATAAAAAGTAGTTTACATCATCATTGGGAAGTGATGTAAGACCACATGACTAGGAGATGGTTCTCTCTAGCAGTCCCATTACAGAGGTAAAGCCTTGACCTGTATTTAATGAGTGTTCATTATGTTTAAATAAAAAGGTCACATTTGACCCTAGACCAAAAGGCTTCTGCAAAATTTACCAACCATTCTCCCGAGCCCAGTCACAGTATGAGGGGAAGCTAGATAAGCACAGAAAGAGGGAGAAATAGGAGGTTAGGTTAATGGGGTTGAATGAGGAGAAGTGGGAGAGCATTCATATGGAGTGTAAACACCAGCATGGGCTTTTGGGCCGAATGGCCTATTTTGTACTGGGAATATTGAGTAATGATTGCCTTGCTCAGACCGTTTGCCAATGCAGCGTTCTCTCAGTATTACACTCTATTATCAGTTTAGATTAAGGGGTTTAATAAGATTGTGTTTTAAAAACAAAAGTAATGAACTACTTACTTTCGTTTTAGGCATCGTTTCTGTCTGACCAGCCAGAGCCCTACCTCCCCTTTCTCTCCCACTTCATAGAAACTCAGATGTTTGCAACTTTCATTGACAACAAGATTGTATCACTGTGGGAGGAGAAGGAGCCTCTTCTCAGAGTGTTTGATTCACGCATTGAGAAGATGAAGATCTACAATGTTCGCGTCCCCACGTTACGCACCTCAAGTTATCAGAAATGCACTGTCTTGAAAGAATCTGGTGAGTGGCACCATTTTTGTCTGCTCAGTTATTTGGGTAGCGGGAGGTTGCTGTGGGGAGGATATTCTTGTGCAATTACGTTGGTGCCTTGTGATCAGGCTGACCTCAAACCAACTCTCAACTCACAATACAGAGCTCCCAAGGCAGAGACAAATTCAGCTACATTGCTGATGCTGTACACTGACCTTGGGCGACACTAAAGTCAATCCATGTTCCTGAGGCTGTGTATCGAGTGGACAACTCATCGAGATGATGCGCCTTGTTTTGTACTTATTGATGTTTGTGAATATGTTTAAAAGCTTTATAAAGCTCCACATTGCTGCCGTAGCATTGGGTTGACTGTTCCTCGAGGATTATCTGACCTTTAAGTGGAAAATAGCGATGGTAATGAAGTCACTTCCACATACAATTCCAAGGAAAGGCCCCAGAATCAAGTAAGTTGTTAGCACCGTCGAAACCTGTACAGATGCAATGACATTAACAATCAAGTGGTTTGTGCTTTTTTTTTAAATACTGCCATTTCAACCATATCAACAATTCACCTCTTCACCTTCTGTTCTCTCCCTTCTTAATCATAGTAACATAGGAAATTGGTGCAGAATTTGGCCACTCAAGTTTGTTCTCCATTTACCTAGATCATGATTGATCGTCTCTCTCAATGTCAGTTTCCTATACTATCCCTCTATTTTTAATACCCAATTTAAATTCTAGGACCACTACAGCCTGCGGACCATCCATTCAGCATTTTTTTACATATGCTAACTCACATAAGCTAACGCCTTGCCCCCTGTCTCACCCTCTCACCTTCCAAGACTAGCCTGAGAATAATAGTTCTTCAGCTTTACCCTAACCTTTCACCCTTAGCCATGAATAACGCTTAATGTCTGATCAGTGCAGTAAAGCTATGGACATTGGGAAAATTGAAACTTTCAAGAATGAGGTGGGGGAGGGTGTCAAAGGGTATGAAGTGAGACTGACTAACTAGAGTTGAGATACAGATCAGTTCTTTTCTAATAAAATAGAATCGAATCGAATCCCTACAGTGCAGAAGCAGGCCATTTGGCCCATTGAGTCCGCACTGACCCTCCCAGACCCACCCCATCCCTGTAACCCTGCATTTCCCACGGCTTTTTCACTTAGCCTTCACAATCTTGGACACTATGGGGCAATTTAGCACGGCCAATCCACCCTAACCTGCACATCTTTGGACTGTGGGAGGAAACTGGGAGTGCCCGGAGGAAACCCACGCAGACACGAGGAGAATGTGCAAACTCCATGCAGACGGTCGCCCGAGGATGGAATCGAACCCAGGTCCTTGGTGCTGTGAGGCATATGTGCTAACCACTGAGCTGCCCATTAATAAAACAGTGGATATATATTGTGAAGAATAAAAAGCTTACTGCTGGTTTAAATCTTCCACTCCTTAAACTGACCAAACTTAGGTTAGGGATTCTTTGTGTGACAATCATGGAGAGTCTAACACTCATAGAATGCCTACAGTGTGGAAACAGGCCCTTTGGCCCAACAAGTCCACACTGACCCTTGGAGCATCCCACCCAGACCCATCCACCTATAACCCACACACCCCTGAACTCTACGGGCAATTTAGCATGGCCAATCCACCTAGCCTGCACATCTTTGGACTGTGGGAGGAAACTGGAGCACCTGGAGGAGACCCATGCAGACACAGGGAGAATGTGCAAACTCTGCACAGACAGTTGCCTGAGGCTGGAATTGAACCTGGGTCCCTGGTGCTGTGAGGCTGCAGTGCTAACCACTGTGCCACTGTGCCACTCCCATTTGATGCATTTGACTTCCCACATTGCCTCACCAATCAACAATTACAAAGCATTAATGGCCAGATTATCTGTTTCTGTAAGAGGTAAACATGGTCTGAGACACCAGAGAGAATGTTCCTTCCCTACTTTGTATGGTATCAAGAGGCCTTTTGAATTTACCTGAGGGTGTAGCTGGAGCCTACAGTTCAAGTCTGACTAGAACCCCCCAACTTTCAATCTATGAGGAGAACATGATATCACTGATCCATAACTAACACTAATTCAACTCCTGGTCCTTGACTGTTGGCAGATGACAGAACTAGCATTAGCTTCAGGGGTCTGAGGCAAAGGAAAGTTAAAATCAGAAGCTCCCTCCTGGGATCTCTTCTGGAATACCTGTGGGATGTGGATACTGGGCATGATTCTGCAATTCAGTTGAAATGTCTACCAATACTGAACAGCATGTGGCAGTGGTGGGAAATTCTGGTGAGCAGAAAGCTGCTAAACCAGCATTAATTAACTTTTCTTCTCAATTAGAGTATGAAATGATCACAAAACGTGACAATTTCGCCAAAGTATTGTGGAACTGGAGCTTCAATGTCAAATGAAAATGCCACCACTGAGTGCTGCTAACTCAGTGAAGTGTGCAGGAGCTCAATTAACTGCCACAAACAGAAGCTTGTTTCATGTTACGCAGAGTGTATAAATGCAAATACTATTGCGTTCAATAGCTAAGCCGTTCTGTTTTGTTTTAGTTTCCCTGTCACGCTGTTGTAATTGTGTTTCCTCTAAAGACCCACTGTTGACTGCTCTTCCTGTAAAGTTAATAGTTTTGACTTGAACAGTTATGTTTGACATACATTCTAATTCTTTGCCTCATTTCCCATGCTGCAGCAGCTCCATCTCAAACAACCTCTTATGCTTTTTTCACGCCAGCATATTACATATGCCCTTTCCAGCAGTTCAGTGCTTTCAATATTTTGCCTAAGTGAAAATCCAGACAGTAAGTGTTGGCTCCAATTGGGAAGGAAGCTTTGGCTGTTGAGGTTGGTTAAATAGCTGTCAGATAATTTTCCACAAAGTATTTTCCGTGGCTGTCTATCCCAGAATAGGCACCATGCCCTCCAAAAGGATGGTAACTCAACTTTAACTCTTCAGCTGAGATCCACACAGGGACTGACGCCTGTTGGACACAATTGGTTTGATCAGTAAGCAACTTCTGCCTAGCAACAAGCCATTGCATGTCTAAAAAGGCCAATGGGTTGAAGATCACCATCTCAGCCCAAGAGCATCCCAAACGAAGAGAGAAATCCCAATTGCAGCCTATAATCGATCTGGAAAATCTTCACTAATCCAACCCCATTCCAGAACAATGTGATCGAACAAAGTAAGCTATACTGGATCCCTGTATCCAGACCCATTGGGATCGAGCATCTCAATCCCCAGAAATTGGCTCAATGAAAACAATGGCTCAAATTTGTGACCAACTAGAACAAAGACAAGTGGATTCCCTGCCTGGCAGAACAACTCAAGGTTGGAATCCAAGAAGGAAGAAATAGCCAGTGTCCAGTGAAGACAGTTTGGTGCTAAGTCATATTTTCTCTTGACAGCATTGACTGGGACAAGCTTGCTGTGAACTGTTCAGATGACAAACCGCTCATTGAGCTGCTTTAAGCTTTGAAACACGTTAGATGCGACAGTCAAGAAGGCACAACAATGCATCTTCTTTCTCAGGCAGCTCAGGAAATTTGGCAAGTCCATAAAGTCCCTCACTGCAGATGCACCATTGTAAGCATACTGTCCGGGTGCATAACAGCCTGGTATGGCAACTGCTCTGCCCAGGACTCTAAGAAGCTACAGATGGTGGTGTGTGCAGTCCAGACCATCATTGAAGCCAACCTTCCATCCATTTACACAGCTCACTGCTGCGGAAAGGCTGCCAACATCATTAAAGACCCATCACATTCCAGTAATGCTCTCCTACAATCTCTTACATTGGGTAGAAGATACAGAAGCCTGAACACACGCACCAGCAGGTTCACGAACAGCTTTTTCCTGGCTGTTAACAGACTGATGAATGGACTCTGTAGCCTCAAATGATGCTGATCTGGCTAACATTGATCTCGCTTAGTGCACGCCTTATGCAATATAACCTGTATTCTTTTGTCGAAGTCTTTTTGATCTGTACATCCTTTGCTTACTATTATCTGCCTGTGCCGCATGTAAACAAAGCTTTTCATTGTATTTTGGTACATGTGACAATAAATCAATCAGTGTCTTATCAATGAGGCAGAACAGCGGCAGAGAAGAAACGAAAAGGAAGTAAATCTTACACTCCCAGATCGTGCTATCCTGTGGGGCGTGCTTGCCCATGTACCCAAAGATACATGGGTTGAGAATTGACCTGTTTAGTCATATGAAGACCCGTGTCAGAATCTTGTGACCCTGAGTAGATGTCACAATTCAATGGAAGGTGACAAGTGTCATTCACAATCAGTGAGGAAGCTTCAACAGTTGAACTTGATCAGGTTTCTACCCACACATTTTCTGCAAGGATCATTGGTAGCCATCAAGTGCAGGAACCAAGGCCAGTCCTGCCCTCCAAAGCTATTTATACATCCTCAACTGAGATTGGCTAACATGCCTTGGGTTGGATTGATGACGCTGCTGTTGTTTGATCTGTACATCCTTTGCTTGCTGTGATCTGCCTGTACCGCTTGTAAACAAAGCTTTTCACTGTATTTTGGTACATGTGACAATAAAATCAATCAAAACAAAAACTGCTGGAAATCACAGCGTGTCAGGCAGCATCTGTGAAGAGAGTGCAAGCTAATGTTTCAATTCTAGACGACTCTTCATCAGAGCTCGGAGGAGATTAGAGACCCTAGAGGAATATAGAAGGTGCAGAGAAGGAAGTCCAAGTGCGACCTCTTGTGTGTACCTCTGTTGTACATTGTTTTGTCCCACAACAAACTGGTGAAGGAAAGCTCTAGTAAAGGTTGAGTTGATACTTTGTCCTGAACGTTGTTCAGTTGTTTTCTCAAGAGGGCTGAGATCATCAGGGGCAGCATATAAATCTGAAGATGTCCACGGTGGTGTGAAATACGTTTGCAGAGCATGTTTATTCATTACCCGCGGTGACTGACACTATCGAACATTGGTGACCAATTTTCTGTCACATTTTCCAGTTTATTTCTCCCACTTGGTCACAGAGAGTTATGTTCCCGGTTATGGGCCTAATGCTAATCAATAAGCTTTTCTGTTTTCCCTGTTGTACTTCAGTTGTTCTCGTTATGATAACCCCTGAGGGGATTCATAGAGAAAAGGTTTTCATATCGAGTACTTATTTTTTGTTTCCAGACAGCTGGCTTGCTCGAAGGCATTGTTCCTTCGACATCCAAGCACCAGAGCCTCACATGCTTTACCCAGAAGACAAGGAAGCAACTGATCAACGTAATAACAGAATTACTATTGATTTTTCCACAGCTAATTCCATGGAGTGGGCGATGGAGTAAATCACTGCCTTGTCTAACAACAGCACTTGATAATAACCAGGGTGTCCCAGTAGAAGGCAAGCTGAGCTTTTCTCTGAATGAATAGACATGGAGGAAACCCCATGCAAAATGACACGTGATAAAACCCGCCAGACAAAACTAAATTTAGTTGCACGGATAACCCAGTGTTGCACTCATCCATTCAAATCAGACATTGCTAGTGTTTCACTCTCCTCCCTGCACTAAGATTCTCAACCCTGACTAGCGCAGTGGGAGTAAGCTCCCTTCAGAGAGAACAAAGATAAATCATTTACTGTGTTTCTGCTGCATCTGCAGTAGACCCTGACGGGAAATTGGATGTCACTGAACATTTTTTGCAGAGAATCTCAAGTACAATTCTTCCAAGGTCTAGATTCTAGTTATCTGCAGTCGATGTCAAAAGCTTCTCCAGAACGAAAGTCTTTTGAAATAAATGTCAATTGTATAGGTGCCATATTTTTAAAAAAAAATATTCAGCAGACTTTTATTTCCATAAACTGCTCAGTCATTTTGCAAATGATTTGAAAATATCTCTGGTTGAAATTTGTTGCCTGACCTTGTGACAGAACTAAGCAGGGTTTTACAATCTCCTTAAACAGGAAATAAAGTCTGCCTGGCATATTTATGTAAAATAGCCTTCCTTTTTGTAGATTTCAAATACGTTAGCCTTGGAAATGCTCTGCAGTTACTAACTTTTGACTTATTGCAGAGTCTTACAACTGTTGACCCGTTTTCAATTATTGACACATTCACACACTCTGTTTAACTATTGGCACATACCTGGGACCCCATCTGTTACTGCTATCAACATCCTGAGGGTTACTATTGACCAGAAACTCAACTGGACCTGCCATATAAACACAGTGACCACAAGAGAAGGTCAGAGGCTGGGAATACAGTGGTGAGTAACTCACCTCCTGACTCCCCAGAGCCTATCCACATTCTACAAGGCACAAATCAGGAATGTGATGGAATACTCCCCACTTGCCTGGATGGGTGTAACCCCAACCACACTCAAGAAGCTTGACACCATCCAGGACAAAACAGCCCGCTTGACTGGCACTACATCCACAAACATTCACTCCCTCCACCACCGACGTTCAGTAGCAGAAATGCATACTAACCACAGAATGTACTGCAGAAACTCACCAGAGATCCTCAGACAGCACCTTCCAAACCCATGACCACTTCCATCTAGAAGTTCAAGTTCCCCTCCAAGCCACTCACCATCGTGACTTGGAAATGCAATCGCTGTTCCTTCACTGTCGCTGAGTCAAAATCACAGAATTCCCTCCCCAATGGCATTGGGAGTCAACCCACAGTGGTTCAGGAAGGCAGCTCACCACCAGCTTCTCAAGGGCAACTAGGGATGGGCAAGAAATGCTGGCCTAGCCAGCAACACTCACATACCACGAATGTATAAAATGAAAACTACTGACATATTCCTACCAATCCATTGTTTCTATTGACACATCCCTGGGGCACTCCTATTCCTATTGACCATTCCGGGTGACCCTATGTAACTCTTGACTCATTCTTAGTGACCTCTTTTAAATTCTGATATATTCCCTCATGCTGGCCGTTGCAACATTTGTTTGGACAATTGTCAAAATATTATTTTTCTGATTCAAGCGATCAACCACAGCAACAGATTTGTCAAGTGAGGGACACCTGGAGAACCCAGGAGCCATTATTTTAACATAAGCCTTGATTAAAGTGCCAATAAACTTCAGATTTAATGTAGCAGTTGCTGTGGTACACAAAGGAAATGATCAGATAAAGATAACGACAGGATAAAGAGAACCTTGAGCATTAAGCAGAGAAACCCAGGATTTAGGAGGCTGATTGAGCTACCTGTCTCTTTCCCTCTGGGGGTCATTAAGTGCAATAATGAGAAGGACAGTAGTGGTAGCACACACTGATACACAAACTGGCACTAATTTGATAACTGTGCATCTAAATCTGGATACCCCAAAAATTTGAGACAACAAGGTGTAGAGCTGGATGAACACAGCAGTCCAAGCAGCATCAGAGGAGCAGGAAAGCTGACGTTTCGGGTCTAGA